TAACTGAAAATGGGACTAAAATCATGCACCGGGACTTAATATAATAAAATATAGAATGAACCGGTCTGAATTGCTTTGAACTTGTCTGGTCGGACCGCCGGCCTGCTCGCACCGGTCGGTCGGCGACTGACTCGGCCAACGGACTTACCAAGGCCGCGTGTGCGAACGCTGCCTGGACTCGTCGTGGCTCTGACTGTCGGGCGTGAATGGTGCATGTACTCGGGCCACTATACATGCTGGCGGCCACTGGGCACAGCCTGCGTGGCGAACAACTAACCACTGCATCGCATACACCACGCTGGGCACTAGCGTACGTGTTGCGTGCATGGAACATGACATGACTTAACTGATCTTTCTGACAAGAATTAGGGCTTAATATAAACTGACTTAAGACTGAACTTGACTGACATTACTAGACTGGACTGATTGAACTGATAACTTAACTGATTTCATGAACTGACTGGCTGAACTGGACAATTACTGAATTATTGAACTGACTTAACTCAATCTAACTGAATATACTGAACATGATCCTGTCTGAACTATATCTGGTACAGACAAACTGATTTTGAAACTTAATTGAAATATAATCTGACAGATAACTTAACCGGTATAACTTGCTGTTAATATAAATTGCTTGACATAAGCTGACTGAACTAACTTAAACATGAACTATTTAACATGAATTGGAATACACATGATAATTTAAACATTAGAATAAGGTCCAGAGGTCATTACCCTCTTAACTGCTCGAAGGATGGTGTGTGATCTCTTATACTCTTGCGTGCGTGCATGGAGAATTAATTAGTCTCAACTTAAATATCTTAACCCATGACTTAGCATGAAGCTTACATATATGCTGTATTTTCCCCCAACTTCCCCGACTTATAGCAGGATAAAACAATGATAATTTGGAGGAAAATTTAAAGTTAAGGACATAGCCAATCAAATGGTGCCTCTTGCCGTGAGCTAATGGCATAAGGTGTACAATTCCTAGCTTTGTCATCACCCTCCTATGTCTCCACATGTCCTAATAATGATGAGAAGTCAAACGTGAATTTACTCCACATGCACTTGAAATTCAAAGCACGACTTAAGCTTACTTAAGGCCGTGCTAATCTTGCTTATTTGCTAAGCCAACCATGA